GAACCCTTGAGAAGTCTGTATCACATTTCTTTGATTCAAGATTAAAGTTGGTTTCACACACAAAACTCCTGAAAAATAAACCGTGAGCTGCTCTTTCAAACGGCCGAATGATTCACCCCAACTTTGCCCACAACATTTTCTGCCAATCCTCTGAGAAGGTTTTCCGCTTATGTTCAAACAATGGACAAAAATCCAGGAAAAATAGCCATCCATCATCACCCCTTATCACCAACCCTGATGTACTTTTGCACACTTGAATGCTACGTCACAGAACAGCGAATCCAAACACACAGATGGCGTGGTGCCATCGCCATGGGCACAGTGAGGTAGCTTTATAATCTTTCCTGCTTGCCAGAAGTTTTTTCTTTGTCACTCATTAATTGTTTGTACACCCGGACAGTGTGTGTCCATCGAGACATGAGCTAATCACACCTATTTGTTTTTTTGAACCAGGCTGTAGTTCATCTCTGAATGGGTGTGTATGTGACTTCCTGTGCTTTTGCAGCCAGCCTCTAGTGGACACTCGAGGAACTGCAGCTGTTTTCACTTCTGCATCGGCTTTATTCTTTGGAGGTTGCCGCTTGGCACAAGTCCAGTTGCCTTAGAAACTACAAATGAGTATTAATCTCAAGCCTTAAATAGTCCCTTAGTGGCAAAAAAAAAGCAAAAGCAAAAGCAACCAGCTGAAGTATAAATGAAAATGCAGAATACGGTGAATGGGGACTATGTGCTGTAAATCTGATGTGAAACAGAAGCCAAATAAAATGAAATCAAGATGCATGCTGTGTCAGTGAGTACAAAGGAACAGTACATTTACAGCGCTCATTAGCAGCTCTACCAAGGACATACATAATGCAGGTATATAAGATGTCACATAGATGGGGCAACGTGACTTCAAAAAAAAATAGAAGACTTCTAGAAGAAGAAGAAGAAGAAGAGGAGGAGGAGGAGGGATGATGATGAAGGGAAAGAGAGGCGGAGAGAGTAAAGAGGATGTTTGTGTTTCTTCTTCTGCAACCTCATGTAAGCCTCATGTAATTGCCGGGTGGGGGTGGCGGTGTTGGCGAGGTGGGGGGGAGGGGGAGGTGGGGGTAAATATTATCTCTTCTACCATCTCTGTCCTACCACCCAACTCCCTCACACACACACACGCACGCACACGCAACACACGCACGCACGCACGCACGCACGCACGCACGCACGCACGCACGCACGCACGCACGCACGCACGCACGCACGCACGCACACACACACACACACACACACACACCCCTCCTACACTGCCCGGACTTCTAAATCCCTCAGACTGCCAGCCTAAGCAGTACACACACTCACACACACACATATATAAACAAATGGGGATTAGATAGACAGACTCACAGCGACACACACACACACACACTCTCTACACAAAGAGGTATAAACACACACGCCCTCTGTGCCCCCGAAATTTTTATCTCACTCTGGTTTTTCAGCACTTGTCTCATCACTGTCTTGCAACCCCCCCCCCCTTCTCTCTCTCTCTCTCTCTCTCTCTCTCTCTATCGCTCTCTCCCCCCTCTCTCTCACACACATTAATATAGATGCTGTGTGTGCAGGGAGACGACTGCATGCAAAATGCAACACAGGATGAGTGGCCTGCAGAGACAGAGAGTGTGTGTGTGTGTGTGTGTGTGTGTGTGTGTGTGTGTGTGTGTTGTTCCTCTTGAGCTACTTCCAGTCCTTTTAAGGCAGTTAGTGACTAGCCTCTCTCTCCCACTCTCTGCCTGTGTCTCTCTGCCTATATTTCTCTCTCGCTTTTCTTTCCATTATACATCCTCTTTCTCTCTCTCTCTCCTCTCATTTCTCCTCTCCTCTCCAGCTCGCCCTCCTCCCCCCCCTCCTTCCCCTCTTTCTGCAGCTTTGTTTTTCCACTTCGTCTCTCTCCTATCTCTTCCCCAGCACTGTAGCGAGAAGCCATCCATATAAGTCATTTAACCAAGTATTGAGCCCGCAAAAATCTCATTTTCCTCTAACAAAGTGGAGAAACCTGTCAACGGTTGCCATAATCCCACTTGTTACCAATGCAAATCAATTTGTGTTGAGAATCTTTCCTGCGCTCAAGTGCGACACTCGAATCAAGTGTGATTGAAGTGACGAGATCTGCTTTCTTCTCTTTTCATGACGAGGCCTTTTTCTAGTTCCAAGACGTTCGTCACAAAAGGAGAGAAAGCCCGCTCCAGAAGCGGGGAGTTATCTTGTCTCTACAGGCAGGTTTATTCTCCGGCTTTACAGAGAGAGAGAGAGAGAGAGAGAGAAAAAAAACACTCAAAGTTAGAGTGGTGGTGCAATTTGGGCTTTTTCCATATAAGACCGTGTGTTTGCAGCTGTCCCAGTTTGCCCTCTCTGGTTTAACTTTACCAAAAGTGTGTTCCAGCCAAAGTGCAGCTCAGATCTCTCTCTCTCTCTCTCTCTCTCTCTCTCTGCCAGCGTTAGCTTCGCTGTGTCATACTGGAGTATTGACGCCCTTATTGATGTGTTTTGACCCCATTTGTGTGTCCTCACATGCCACCACAAATGTAGCATGGAGGACTATAAGGAGGGAGGTGGGCTGTGTTTGGAAAAAAAAAAGAAAGAAGAAGAGGGGTGTGTGGATGCATGATAGCGGGCTACGAGAAAGCTGCTTTTGAAATACACCCCACACACCCTTCCACCGAGCAACCGAGCACCATTCTCCTGGAGAGAGGCTGAAATCGGAGCTCTTGGTGAAAATGCTATAAGAGCATTTCGGGCTCAGCATACAAAGCAAAAAAGGGGAGGGGAGGAATAAAAGAAAGAAAGAGGAGGAAGTGAAGGGAAAGAAGAGAGAGACAGAGATAAGGCCTGAAAGGTGGGATAGGTAGCTTTTCTTTACTATATTTTCTACCTCTCTTCATAGTATTCCCCTAATCCCCAAGAGAGAGAAAGCAGCACTTCCCCCTTTGAGGGATTAAAATAAAACAGACTATTTCTCAGCTTGCAACAATTGGGATTGTTCAGAAGAAGAAAGCTGCTGCTGGCTGCAGAGGAGGGCCGAGATAAAGAGTGCAAATACAGTTGAGCGCGAGGATTAGACTGATGCATTGTCTCCCTGACAGTCAAACACATGATCTGAAATCATCCACCAATGATATAATGGGAAATCTGCGTCTGATTGTTGCACTGGAAGACACTTGTCTCCGCTGTTATTATTAAGCAGATAAATCATCCTGGGGACAGAACATGGAGGGCTTCTAGCAACAATTGTCAGTTCATAAAATCATAAAATCATAAAATCATAAAGTCGGTCTTAACGCCATGGCCTCGGGCTTCAGGCTGCAGGAAGGAAGACAATCTCACCAGCAAAGGTTCGGCAAACTTCTGAGCAGACGGATGAAAAAGGTGTCAATACTTTAGACTTTACAGAGAGCAGAGGAGGTTTAAATAAACGATGTAGGGTCCTTCTTCCTCTGTCAGCCTCTGGAGTATGAAGAGCTCTAATAAAGAGGATTAGCTTGAGACACTTACAGTACGTAGGTCTTAATACATTCTTTAGTAAACTATTTGAGGTGGTTTGTCTTTTAGCGAGCATGCTCACAAGTCTGTGACAGTGAGAGAGCCCAGAGACAGCTCAGTACAGAGACAATATGAAGAAGCACAGCTACCAGTAAAAACTGTATTCCAGCTTCTTAGCATGTCAGTGGTTCACATGTTGGCCTCTGAAGTTCACAGAATACTGCACTCATAGTTGTCAAAGAATCCCATATTACACTCATTAATCCCAGTGAAATAAAAACAGGTCAACGTCTTATTTTTGTGTCAATGTTTTGTCTGTTAAGAAGCCAAATACATGAAGTTTTGACATCCTGTGAAACCGACATATCTCTTTGAAAGGGAGCATTTTGTCATCTACCGTAGCAGAGTCGGATATTTTTCTGTCTATAAATTCATTTTTCCTCAGTGCTTGTATATCTGGACAATGACATATTTCTAGTACTTTTTGGAGGTCTCTGCCTCGGCCCTGCAAATCAAAAGCATTTTTATTCAGCCTTGTCTCGGTCTTAAATCAAAACCCGCTCAAGACCCCCTCATAAGGGTTTATTTTCCACATCATCCCTGTGATTAGAAGGAAAAATCCCCTTTTTAAAACAACAAGTAACTTCTTGCCATCACATTTATTCAAAATCTAACTTTAACTTAAAAAAGAGAACTCTCTTATTTTGTTAAAGCTCATGATGATTTTTGGTCTTGGTCTTGACTCAGTCACCCTGCCTTGGTCTTGGTCTTGGTCTCAATCCCTGAATGTCTTGGTATTGGTCTTGGGCATGTGTAGTTTGGTGTAGCCTAATCGAGCTGTAACTGGACTTAACTGCATGTCCCTGTTCTGACCGATGTCACCATATTTCACTTCAGGCAGCTAGCTTACTCCGCATGTCAAATTGTTAAATTGTAAATTGACTTGAGTCCTATACTAGCGCTTTTACACTACAAGTCCCACCGATCCATTTACATCCATTAGCACTCTGATGTCAGCGGCTGCTCTGTGAAGTGGCCATCATAACTAATCCATTGATACACATTCACACCACTGACACAGCAGCAGCAGGAGGCTGCGGGAGCTGGGGATTGAACCCGACCTATTCTACGACTGAGCCAAAGCAACTTCCTGAAATCAAGCATGATAGCTTGTTAGCTGTAGGAAGCTAGCAAACATTATCATATGAGTTGTCTGTGAGGATAGTCACACAGGTATACCTGTTGTCAAGCAGTGTGCTAGCAACCCAAGCTAACAGTCATAAGGGTTAGCTAGTTAGTTGAAATGAAATTGGTCGAATGCCGCTGCTTCTTTGTTCAGGTATTTAGCATGTATGCTAACAAGCGGTAAACAACTACAACAGGAAGTAAGAATTAGCACAACCTGAACAAATTCTGAAATCTGGAGAGTTCAAAGAGCCTGTGAGGATTAAATCATCCATTAGCTGGTATGAGACTCGCTCACTCACCGTGGTATCGAACAGTTTTGCGGGGGACCGGGTTCCAGTTGAGACCCAGCGACTTCTCCCATCCAACCAGAAGCACCAGGAGCAAGACCTTGGTCCCGCTCATGGCTCCTGTGTGAGCTCCCTTCTGTTGGAACTGGCGTTGAGTAATTGATCGAGTGGTCGATCAGATGATCGAGGGGGGAACTTTGAGAGAGCAGCTCAGCTCCTGGCGGCCTGCCGAGAGAAACAGAAAAAGCAACACATCAGCAGGAAGCAGCAATTCTCTTCTTTTATTGGCCCGGTGGTTTATCAGAAACGACTTTGTCGGAACGGTAGTTAAAACTTAAGAAAAAAAGTGCAATCAAAACAGTTCACACACTCAAGCTGCACGGGGAGATAAATTTCTCGCTTTGAAAACATGTACTTTAAATTGAACATGGTCATCAAACTCCACGATAAATGTAGAACAAAAATGAGTTATGCAAATCGTTGAAGCCACCCAGGACCAGCTGTAATCAGAGTATAGTGTGTGTGTGTGTGTGTGTGTGTGTGTGTGTGTGTGTGTGTGTGTGTGCGTGCGTGCGTGTGTGTGTGCGTGTGTGTGTGCGTGTGTGTGTGTGTGCCAACAAAAACAAAGAGGGGGGGGGGCTGCAGGAAACCTTTCCTCGCCCCTCCCTCACTCTGATAATCCAGCTATCACCACTCAAAAAGCTCAGAAAGAGCTTATCGCTGCATTCTTGTCAAGCCCGTTCAGCGGCAGTTTATTAAACCGGGGGCCGAGTTATCAAAGTTAATTGGCGCTGGCGACGCATCAAACAGCAATGTGTTGGGAAATGAATGTCAAGGAAGGACAATCCCGCGGCTCTGTGTTGTAAATGAATCGCCTTTTATACCTAATGAACATGTCAAGTGCGGGGCTACGGCGCCACATCACAGTCCAATAACAGCGCAGGGTGATTGACTCGTTACACTGCTGCAGGTGAGACTGATGTGACGGCGGGAGGACAACTCTACCTCCTCACCATGACATGTATTTGCATCTGTATTCACTTGAGGAACCTGCCTTGTGTCATTTTAATTCATTTCCGATGAACTCAGTGACATCAATTTGGGGCAGACATTTTTCTCGAGTGCATTTAAAATTGAGCCGAAAACGACTCTTTGGACAAATTGCCTGACGATCGACCAGGAACAGCGTTATTTAAAATTCAATTCTCTTTCATTACAAGTTTCTTTTATTAAATGCAGAAAGTTGAGGCATTAGAATAACTTTAAAAAAATAACTTATTTATTCAAATATTTGGGCTGCATGGTGATGCAGTGGTCTTGTTGCCTGCAGGGAGGAAGAGTAAAGATAATGGATGGAGATGTTTGTGAGATGTATGCTGCTGGTACGGGAGTTTTGTTTGTTTGTGTATCTCGAAGCAGGAAAGTCAAACAGCAGCATCCGTTATCCAAACAGTAAGGCTCAACTAGTTTGAATAACGAGTCGCTGACTGTTTTGAGTCCAAAATGTGGCAGAGAAAAGAGCCTGCAGCCGCCTCCTCCTGGTTGCATCCTTTATCTCTCTCTCCTCTCTCACGCTCGCTCTGTGTTTTGCATGTCTTTGTAGTCTCAAAGTAATTTAAAGAACAAATGCACACTCTCTCCTCCCGAGGCATGCATGGCGCCCTACTTGGTTGTACGAGAGAATTTCCCAATAAAGAGCACCAAACAGGTGCATCTGATACGCACTTTTTAAAGCTTGCTGAGGTCTTAGTGCTTATGGACAAAATGTTCTTTTCACAGTTTTTTAATGGCAGTTGTTTGAATAAAAACAGCTTTTCTTAGATACAAGATGGAAAAAAAGGTTCGGCTGCAATTTTGGGAAATAGATTTTGGTAAATGGCTTGTGTATTTATTTTCTAGTCTTCTGACTACTCAAAGCTCTTTTACACCTCAGGTCACACCTACACATTCACACACTGATGGTAGAGGCTGCTGAGTAAAGAGACCATCAGAAGTAGTCACCAGAGGCGCTGCTTGTCAACAGACAAGGCAGGCAACTGCTTGGGGCCCAAGACCAGTAGGGGGCCCCTGAGGGCTCAAAAAAATTAAACCAAAGAATTAGCCAAAAATGGAAAAATTTTGCAATGACATTATAGGAAACCTCCGTAAGGGGGCCCCATCTGACAGCACTCAATTGTTGCCCTGCTAAGCATCGTATGCATTATTTCTGTGAAAACCAAAAGTTTGACAATGACATTCAACAAAGAAAAATGACGATGAATTAAGAGGAAAGCTTCGGGCCCCTGGCTGACATAATGGTGATGAACGCCGGTTGGAGGGCCCTCACTGATTTTTGCCTAGGGCCCCAACAGACTCTAGAATCACTACTGGTAATCACATTAGAGCCCAGCCTCCACCATCGGACTGTGTCGTCCCCAAAACCATCACCGTCCTCATTCATGCACGGCATACACTAAACTTCTGCAAGTTTTTTCAATCTCAACAAACACAGTTGTTGTTGTAATCCCCTGACGTAGTTTCCTGCTGCAACTGAAAGAGACGTCACCAGAACTTTGCAGGACTTGGCCTGAACCTGACATCAGGTTCTGCAGACGAATCAGAGCAAAGCATGGAGCAAAGTCATAGGACACGCCCACCTGGAAGCTCACTCAAAATGTCCTGCAAACAGAGCTGGCCAATCAGAGGAAAGTGGGCGGGTCTTAAAGAGACAGTAGCTGATATTAAGCGTTTCAGGCAGAGGCTGAAATGAGGGATTTTACTGACACCAGTATCAGATAAATAAGAAGGTTTTTGAGCTACACATCTTGCACCACTACTCAACAGGTGTCACAGAATGACATCATTAATGTTGAAAGTGAGTATAATAGATCTCCTTTAAATTACTCTGATGCAAACCCAGTCGCAGAAGTTTAACTTTTTACTTCTTCACATATATGAATTTTTTATATGAATTTTGTAACTTCTTCAGATATATGAATTTTTTTGATATATGAATTTTTGATCACAATAGGTAAAATACAAGACTCATACACACATCTAAGTATGCAGATCACCTGTCAGCTGTCCTCTCTCTACATGCTGCAGGGTATCAGGGAGGGAAAAGGAGCCTTTGAGGATGCTCATTGGAGAAGGGAATCAGTTGACTTTTAAGCAGGCAAAAAATGTCACACTTCATTTACTTTAACCCACAACACAGACGCACAAAAAATACTTGTATAAGTGAAGCACTTTTTATGTATCCCACGCCGCCCCCCCTCATCTATTCCTACTCGTGAATATTAAATATCAGCGCTGGCAAACAAACACTCGCTCTCTTTGGTGGATTGGCAGGAGAGGTAATTGAGATTTGGAGATGTGTGTGTGTGTGTGTGTGTGTGTGTGTGTGTGTGTGTGTGTGTTTGTTTGTGTGCCCACGTCCAACCAATGTGACTGATATTGATTACACTTTTGAGAAGAAAAATAAGAAGAGGCTGCGAGAAGCGAGAAAATGCAAACACTCCCCCGCCTCCCTCCGGCTCCTGATCAGATCATGGCGACGTGCTGTTAAACGAGCGTGCTTAAACGCTGGCTTTTCGCTGAGAGCTCTTCGGGCTTCGCAGTGCTGACTATACCAGCTTTATTGGATCGATGCTGGAGGCCAGGGCGGCCAACGCTCGAGTGAGCCCAGATTGAGATTGAGATGGAGGGAGGGAGAGCGGGCGGGAGGGCGTGAGGGAGGGAGGGAGGGAGGGGAGAAGAGTTATGGTGAAAGAAAAAAAAAACATGTTTGAAGACATCGCAGGAGGTTTGCAATTTTTTCCTTTTTGTTCCTCCCTCAACATCCGCTCCTCTATCTCTGTGCTGAGGGGGAACGGAGTGAAGTGGGCATCCTGAAGGCCGGATTAAGTGAAGGGGCTGAATGTCAACAGTACAGGGGGAGAGGAGAAGGAGGAGGAAGAGGAAGCAGTGAAGGATTCTGCTGAGGGAAAAGCTTGAACATCTCCAGTGTGCACCTCACTCTCATCTACACTCCTAATTTCTGCTCTTCAGATTCTGTCTTCCTCTTTTCACTCTTTCCTGCCAGAAAATGCTTTTTTTTTATCATTTCCTTTATTTTCTCAATTTGGCAACAATTTACCTCAAACTCATCTCGACCGCTGAGCTCGTCTCCTCACTCTGTGAAGCTGATGTCCTATTTCACAGACGAGGTTAAGAGTCGCAGCTATCAGTACCTGTGGTGTCTGTTTCAGTGTCAGATTAAAAACCTGCTGATAGGAGCCAGAAGGACGGATGTGTCTGAGGTTCAGATCACATTACAATCACAAGGACTGCATCAAAATAATTCTGCAACATTTGACCGACTCATGAGGTGATGAGTCAAAAGATTGAACATTATAAGATCCACACAGTTTATCAAGTCCTACAGGAAAATATTTGCTAATGCTGCTTAATGCTATTGTGATAAAAGTAGGTACAAACTGTAGTGTCGGCTTGGTCTCAAGACCAGTTTTTGAAGGTCTTGGAGTCGAAAGCATTTTTACTCGGTCGTCTCGGTCTCAGACTGAGTTGACTCCTGATTTTAAATCAAGACCACAACTGATTTTTGTTGACTATTTTTCCACGTCATCACTGTGGTTGGAAGAAAACATCTCTTCACTACAACACCAACAAAATTACTCCCATAATGCACTTCATAAATTAGCATACAACTGTTGGACTCACACACTCAATGGTTATGTCCCGATTTAGGGACTGCATCTTTCTAAGGACGCATTTGAAGACAGACTGCATCACAGCGGCATACTGAGATATACTTTTTTTTTCCAGACCCATGTTCGTGAAACCGGCTCCGCGAACCACTTTTGGGTCCCGACCTACCAGTTGAGAACCACTAACCTTAAGAATCATAATTAAATCATGAAGTTCTCGTCGACACGCAGCCCTACTGAGATGTTAATTGGGAATGAAACAGTGATTCAGACACAACCAGTAAAGAGTCTTCCTCACAGTTTGGTTTAAAAAGCATTTAGCACATGACTTCATAACAGTGTAAGAGAACTGAGCCATCCACCACACGGCTCTAACAATCATCTAAAGGACAGATCATCTTGCTGCGCTATTCGTTTTCTGTGCGGCTCTGTCGACTCCTTCTCTTCACCGACTCCACTCTGCCGCTGAGATTGCCACACTGAATCTTCGAGCCGCATCAGCTGGGAACTTTATGAAAAAGCCGTGGGGAGACGGCTGGAG